GCATCAGTAGGCAGTAACCTCCTATAAGGAGTGATTTTAGAGGTAGTAAACTTCTTCACGATGACATGAAATACATGGGTAGGGCATAATCCAACTCTGCAATTTGTGGATGAAACCCCCTGCCTTTTCTATTTATTGGGACTCTTATCAACATTATTATGCCAAAGACTGACTTAAACCACTACAAATACATACAAGGCATCATGAAGGATCTGTCAGTACCAGATTCTAAGCATTTAGTGACATAGACCAATTATAGAATATTACTTTTAAAGGTACAGCTATATCATAAAAAAGATACATGATTACAAGATTATCATTAATTCACTGTTGACCAACTTGTTGATTGCCACACCACCTATATTAAGGCCAGGAAACCTTTATACTCTATATTCTACCAAGACAAAGATACTGTGATGGCAATTTATCATGCAAAAAAGAAATTGTCCAAGTTTTATATTACTAGAAAATATGTGGTAGAAGTTTCTTGGCATTTACCAAAGCATGTAGTAACTCTAACAGTGTACTGCTAACTTTTTTAGGATTGTAGGTTTTTCTTTGTAGATCACAACAAATTTAAAGTTTCCAAGCAAATAATAGTATGTTGTACTATTTGTGTCTGAAACAAATTTTACCAAACTTTTTTTTTTCCTTTTTCAGATATAGATAAAACTAATATTAATTTATTCACTATGAATTAATTTGGTAACAAGAGACTTTGAACTGGGAATGCTGAACTTGTTAACTAGAAGAGATTAATGTTGTACAGTGTTTAGTACCATCTTTTTGCTTATAACAGTTTTTAGCTTTTAAGTCTTTTTCATAGCTATGCAGTTAGGAGTTGTAATTTTAAGTAAGAGCAGAAGGTTGTGACTTATTTATGAAATGTTGATGCTTTTGGTAAAATTGTGTACATATTTATTGATTAAACTATCCATAGATTGATGATGACCTCAAAGAAGAAAATATTCATAAATTACTACACCAAGAGGTTGACCCAGACTTGCCAGGAGATGCTCAGCATTACTGCGTTCATTGCGCGTAAGTTTTCCCTATAGTTTATGTTGATTTTGGGATTATATTTGATATTATGCTTAAGATATAATTGCTTCAGGATGATTTAGTTTGTATAATTTTTCCCATTTTATGATCGTTTTGATATTATAAAAGATTGTATTAGTGGAAATACTATTCCTGTTGAAGGAAGAGCAGTTGAATAGTTCACTAACTCATTTGAATTATTTATGATAACCTTGTATGTACATACTTTTTTATACATCCACAGGCGTTACTTTATAAACCGGGAAGCACTGAAAACCCATTTCAAAAGTAAACCTCACAAGAAGCGCCTGAAGTCACTAGAGTTAGAACCTTATACCATAGAGGAATCAGAAAGAGCAGGTGGCTTGGGGTCTTACATCCCTCCAAAGAAACGGAAGATTGAAACGCAACCTATGGATGATGAGACTTTCGACCCTACTAAGGAAGATGTTGATATGAAGTAATGGTTTGATTCTAATACATCATGTTTATTTTTTTTCAAGAAGTAGGTAGTACATTCTAGAATATCATATTCATGTTTCTTGATATATCATATTTGTTACTGGATAAATTAAATAAAACAGAAATATTTATAGGCTGTGAAGGAAATATTTTCTGGGATATTTTATTCCAAATGTAACACAAGCAAAATCATATATGAGAATTTAATTTGTGGCGTAAATGTGAGTAACATTTACTCATTTCATTTTCTTGTAGTTCAAGATTTATTGTTCTCTATTCTTTTTTTCAAAATAAATTAATATTTAAATTTCTGGATCTCATTTACACCCTAATATGAACATGAGTTATCAAAGAGGACATTAAGGTACAGACAGACATACATATCTTTATCTATTTATATCTATATCTATTTATCTGTTTATTATTCTGTAAGTATACCTGTTTGTCTGTCTAGCTATCCCATTAATGTTAGTACACATTTGTTAAATATCGTGCAGTTATGTGGACCATTTCATCTTTAAAAACTTTCAGTTGGGAACCTAAACAAATTGTGACAGGCCTTACTCACCAGTGCACGTAAAGACTTATTTAATTGTAGATTTTCCCTTTAGATGATTTCTTGCTAGTGTCTGGTTGTCCCTCACTTCTAACATAATTTTTTGTTTGTTTCTGAGAAGAGGGAGGATCATTTAGGCTTAAAATCTAGATATTATAATAAAGGCTTTCTGATGTCTTATCTAAACTCAGGGATGTGGTTTGCATATATAGTGTTTTTGTATGTGTGAATAAGTTTATGCTGATATACAGTCAATTTCAAATATTTTCTGTGTATATGATAGGAAAAATTTAAATGGTAAGTAAAGTAAAAGAATCCCTACATTTATATTTCAAATTTAAAACTATATTAAAAGATGCCACAAAAGACTTTATTCCTACATGTGAAATAGTTTTTTTCCTGTTCAACTGTTCAAAAAGTTTGGGTATATAATTTCTTGAAACATATATAAATGTTTCTAAAAGGGTGAGGATAACAATGATTTTTCTTAATGTATTTAAAAATTCCAACTTAATTTCATAAATTTCTTTTTACCTGCTCATCTGTCTTAGGCATGTTTATCACCTACAGAAATCAACATGCAGTTTATCAATTGTATGTCTTCTTTTTAATTTAGACTGCCTATAATTCTTAATCATGTTGCACTAGTTTGTAGTTTGGAAAAAAAATCAAATTCAATACATCATATTAATGATAGTAATATTTTGAATCACTGAAGTATTCACTTTTTTCCAATTGTCAGCGTATGAAACATGCTGTTATATAGTCACTCCCATAACTCTCATGGAAAGTGATAGACAAAGCTCTTCTCCAATGTAAATTGAGTTGTCTTGAACATGAGAATATGACATTCTTGCATAAATTAAGAGAGTTGCAGCCTCATTCATGGTACATTATTTTTTATGTGATTATACTCTAAATTGCTTTGGGGGAATGTTTAGGAAATGTTTACATACATTCATCAGAATTTGTACTCAAGCTTTTCCTATATAGTAAACCTATAATTATTTTTATTTAAATGTTATCTTGAGAGAAATCATGCTTCTGATTCTGTCACTGATTTCATTACCAGGAGTGCCTATTGCTCTATATTTCCATTTTCATCACTCTTTGGTTTCTACAAAACTGAATTTTCTTTGCAGTAACAGGTACCTTCTTCAACTCATAGATCTTATTGAATTATTGATGAGGAAATGATGTTAATCTTTTCAAAGATCTAATTCTCACCTACCCACACTGTATGTAAATAGTTACATACTTGCATACTTTCAACAGATTCACACAAAATAATAAAACAATCTGTTACACTATCTATTAGTAAAGGAAATATGCAGGAAAATAATACAACACATATGGCTTTATTTGTTCTATCTTTTTTATTGGCAGGACCATGAATAACTACTGATTAGTGTGGAAAAAGTCCTCAAAATATTTTAACAAAAGGAAATACAGATTATGATATGAATATCATTTTCTAAATATTTAGTATTTTACCTGTCTGGTTCCAGAAACTTTAACCATAGTCTACTTATTGACCAAATACATCATTGTACTTTTGCAGTTTTTGTAAATGTAAATTTCAAACATCATTGCCTTAACTTTCTTGTGATAACTACTTCCAAGAAACCTTAGTTTTAAAAATGCTTTTCATTTCATTACTCATTCTACAAGCCAGGATTGTAATTTGGTTGAGGAAATATCTCATTATCTAACTTAAAAACATGATAATTAAAGTCCATTAAAAATATCTTTCCATTAAGTATATTTTCCCAAGTAGCTTGGTCAAGTGCCTATTTGCTTTTTCCACAATAAAAAAAACAGTAACAAAAGAGATATATGAATATTTCACAGTGTATGATTTCATGTCAAGATTTGCTGATTGCATGAGTGGTATAGTATATGTTTTATTTTTAATGAACTGTGTGTGTGTTTGTGTATGTGTGGGGAGCTTGTGTTCACATGCATGCGTGCATGTGTATGTGCAAAATGCATTCATTTGCCCATCTCTTATCTGTGCATGACATTTCCTGTATTTTGTAAACATTTTCCTCAGCTTTATATATACAAAGAGGATGTCTGCATGCTGGGGGAAAAAAGCAAAACAAAAAAGCATAATACATCAAAAAAGATAATTACCTTCTTTATGAAATGCTAATTTGATGTAGGAAAAAAATAAATTTCAAAGGGTGCTGGTAAGTAATAATATCAATTCACCAATAGGCCATATAGAAAGGTTTAGGATCATGAAACAGGTGGGGAAAAAAGGTGCAAAATCATTTGAACGATGAATTTCAGATGGGCAATTTGAAATAGTTGTTTCAAATGTTATGATATATACCATACACTCCTAAGTTTGCAGTATGGAGATTCTCATGGTACTTTTTTATTTTCTAAACAAATTTGGTCCCTTAACAAAAACAATGTAATGACTAAAGGTAATAACCATGCAGTTGGGAAAAACGTTCTCTCAGGGTTTTACTCGAAGCATTGGCACTGAGAGAGAGAGAGAGAGAGAGAGAAGAGAGAGAGAGAGAGAGAGAGAGAGAGAGAGAGAGAGAGAGAGAGAGAGAGAGAGAGAGAGAGAGAGAGAGAGAGAGAGAGAGAGAGAGAGAGAGAAGAGAGAGAGAGAGAGAGAGGAGAGAGAAGAAGAGAGAGAGAGAGAGAGAGAGAGAGAGAGAGAGAGAGAGAGAGAGAAGAGAGAGAGAGAGAGAGAGAGAGAGAGAGAGAGAGAGAAACTGAGCCTGAAGAGCTTGAGCTAGCCATATCACATAACACAGAATATATAAATAAGGTATGGCTTTAGCAAAGATCTTGCTGTAAAGTAAATTTAGGCATGTATATCACTTATCACAGATGAATGATAACATTTACTTCACAAAGAAGTTCCTACAACAAATGCTTTTACAATACTATATCAGATCCTGTGTGAACACTGAGATCT